CATCTTATAAGGCATAAGATACAGAGTCCTTAATATAGCGTTTTCTGTAAGCTGGTACGGTGCTAATAAAGGAGGGTACATGGGGGAATTGTCTCCCCTGTCTAGGAAATTAATAGAAAATAGGAAAGGTTGTGTTTGGTTTGGGCTTGCATGATACCCTGATTTTGGGACTTAATCTCTGGAGGGTGCGTTGCTCTCGCCAACAAATACCCTATATTCATATACGACTTACCTTGTGGATAACTATAGTTGTTTTAAAATAATCTACTTTGTTTTAAGGGGAATATGCCTACTACCAATTAACATACAGAAATTGTCAATCAAAATATATGACAATACGAAATCCACAGAATCTACACTCCCTAATCATAGTCCTCTAAATATTCATTTATAATCATTATTATTTGAGAGAAGGAGGAACAACAATCAAGAGAAATCATGGTGAAATACCCAAGGCCCAAAAGTCTTGAAACCAACAATATTTCATCCTCGTATTAGCTATCTACTCAACCTATTTACTGAACAATACATGCTACGAAAACCTCATGCTGATCATAATTACCTACCTTTTTATTTCCTTTGGTTCGCTGAGCACTTTTGTCCTTCCCCATCGTTGCTTTTTACTAAATCTAAACTCACAGGCTATCGTGGTTCCATCGGCCGCTGAAACATGTTGCTTGGCTGGGATTCGGACTCTGATGTTTTCGACCAATAAGAACGCTTCATTTTTACATTGACTTTTAATCCTGTATTCTGATTGGCTGTTCTTACACATGTATTTCACTTTTGGGAAGATCGTTCGCAGAAGCGTGAATGCGGATATGTAATCACTCAGACGGATTTTTTCTAATTCCATCCACGTATTTCGTCATGTAATAAACCATAAGCAAATAAATATTCAAGCTAACTTTTCTGCACAGAAAACTACACTGATATTTACAAACCCACACACAGCATCTCAACACATCACACAAATGGTTAAAAATGTTTACATATTATATTCACTATTATACTTCCATAAATCTGTTTAAGATTTTTTTAGTATATGTTTTGGATTTCAGACAGATTAACTGTTTTGTTTCTAGAACGTCATCTGGATAATTCTATTTAAAAAATCTTATTATACGATCTTTTATGAGTAATGTATATTAATAATCTTATTTTCCGTCTCGCTTCCCCTGTATATAAATCCAGCGACAATATCATCGAGTTTAGGCCATCAGTGTCAAGTTAAGAGCATGTGGAGAGATGAATGCGTAAGGCCACAGCAATTTTTTTTTCTTGAATAGCGGGTCCGCCGGCATTCATTTCCAGGAAAATGAAAAAAGTGAAAATCCCGAATCTTTTTTATTCAAATTTCCCGCCGATATTGTGACGTCCGCGAAAGAAATAGAAAAAAATACAAATCAATTTGTCCATGATTCATTGTGTATGGTATCGTTTCTCCCGACCTCAAATAAAATAAAAATAAAAATAAAATATATTTGGCAGGAATACCTTACTCTCATGTGTCATGCCACGTCTATTGTCTATCGTGAATATTTTCGATTTTGATTTCCAAAATTACAAATACTGTTTGAAAGAATTCTTTGTCTTCTTTCATTCAACTCCTCGAAGATGTAGTAAGACAGAATTGTACTTCCTCCAGGTGGGGCTGGAACTGATACACTCCTTTACTACTTTGGAGGGTAGGAGGTACACTTGTCTTATTTTGGAACTGGGGATTTTTTCCCTCCCTCATTTCATTATCACCAGACTTGCCCGCTATTCAAAAAAAAAAAAAAAAAAAAAATGCTGTGGCCTAAATAATTCCAAGATCTTTTTGCTTCTAAACCTTACTTCTCATGTACGAAGTTATCATATGTTGCCATGGCTTATCATATATGGCTTATCAGCTTGGGGGGAACGCAGTGTACTTACGTTTGTTAATCTTGTTATCAGTAGTCGGAGGCAGGGCCCGATTGTAACCTTTTCGTCCCTAGGGTAATGATTGACAGCTCGGACTTAGACTGGGGCCCTCTAACCTCTACAAAAGAGCCTCAAATTCCGGGCCTCCTTTTAAAGTTTTAAGCAATTTCAGAATAATTCAGCGATGTACAATATTAAATACTTATTTTACATTATATAAGTATGTTTTATATATGTATGAATGTGTATACATATGTCTAAATGTAAATACACATATATGTCTGAAAATATTATAGGCAGGGCCCCTCAAGCTTGGAGGGGTCCCAAGCTCGGAGGGTCATAGGCCTACACTAACCTACAGGATAATCAGAAACATCTGTATTTTATGAAATTATTGCTATTCGCATGATCCTTCCCACACCTCTTCTGAAGGCCTTAAATGTTTTAAATAATCTTTATCATATATTTTCTCACTTAAAGGTTTGGACATTATAAATGACTTGCCACAACACATCGTTATTCGTGATTAATGTTTTGTATTTCATAAAAATGTCTATTCAGTATTTTCTATACATATTCATTAAACACTGCCACACTACAGAAATGGTTGGCGATGCATGACTTATTTAGGTAACTATGACTATTAATATCTTTTGAGAAAGATAGGTATCAGTTATTTTGCATTTAAATACTTGATATTGAAAAGGCACGTTGCCTGACTTTTACATAAATATATTTGGCATTACATGGCGTCATATTCGTAATATGCATATTAGAGCTTATATTATCCAAGCTGAGACTTCAAAGTTTTAGATTTTAAGATGATGATGATTATTGCAACTTTATTAGAAATACATAGGCATTCAGCTTCTCATACAATTATCACAAATGATATTTGAAATCACCCCATTTCTGTGATGATTTTAGGAAGACTGAATAATGAGAAAATTATTATGTTACTTTTCTCTTTATCTCAGTTTACGGTTATTTATTCATTACCATTATCATCACTATTATATATAGGCAAAATAATCATATATATATATATATATATATATATATATATATATATATATATATATATATATATATACTAAGGACAAGAATATGTTGAGATTTTTTACTTTTAGTCAGTTTTGCTTTGCTGATTCAAGTTTCCCAACTTTGGAATATTAAACACGTTCACATATTTGACATAGTTTGTTTCATTTTCCTGTATCAGTTCCTCAGCTTTGGAGTATAAACGCTCAGAGAGTACTGATGTAACAGGATCACACAGGTATTCACATGTTAGCTTAGACACGCGAGAATACAGCCGCCCACGAGTTTTCCAAAAATCTAGTGCGTCTTCTAAAGAGCTTTCCCTCCAGAAAATGGCGCATTTCCAATTTAAGCCTAGTCCAGACCAAGATTCACTGTTGCTCAACATTGTATCTGAAACACTATCTCAACAAATCCCAAAATATTTTCATACCCACGTCCAGACCAAGGTACTTTATTGAGCAACAATCCATCAACAGAGTATCTGAAAATTCACTCACCAGTTGAGCAACAATCTAAATTTGTTTCACAGTTGTTGCTCGTGAGTTCTTGTTTCTGTTTCCTACTGAATATGGGAAAAAATATAAAGTTGCGGGCAAAATAATCTTACCTTCTGTCTGCCATTGGCCAGACGTTTACTGGCTTGTTCTCGGTTGCTTTGTGCGATCGGATACTGGAAAATACACGTGACACGGGCTTCTGGAATCTATATTTTTATGACATTTCTAAATTTTGGAAATCCCTAGGAAATTCGAAAATCCCTGACAAATGTGTCTGAAAATACGGACATCCAGGAAATTTCGTTTGCTATTTTGGGCAGTGAAACGCCCCTCCTAGAAAACCAAAATGATCTGGAAGTCAATTCGGATACATGTTGGTGCAAGTGTTCTCGCCTGTCTTACAGCGGTCGCTGGATAAAGTCGCTTAAACATTTGCTGTTGTGCTGTTGTTGAGCAGATATATCGGGGCAGTGCAGATACATTGTTGCTGTTTCGATAAAGTGTATCTTAGTCTGGGCTAGGTTTTAATGCTTCTTCCACTGACAATGTCCGATGAATCTCTGACCATTATTTTCTTGTCGAACCACATCCAGATGGTTTCATCATTTTCTTTAGATGTTTAGTGGGAAGCTGATGTTTGTGGCTCTGATTCTGTGGTTGTTATTCCATTTTCAAATTAAATGATTAAAGGTTCAAATATGATTTCTTCTGTCTTGTGAAGCCAGTCACAGATCACCTCTTCAAAGGTGACCAAGCACAGTTGTTACAACATCATATTGCTCTATGTAATGTTCAGACATAATACGTAGAATTCAAGCGCGTGTCAACATTTTGAATGAGTTTATATTCTGGTCTTTGCCTTAATTTCGTTCAGCCTTTTCGTGGCCGTCACAGAACGATGCAAGTGTTTCAATACTTTTCGAATTCTTATTCCATTATATTTTGTTGTTGTTTGTCACCACCAGGTTCAGTGTCTACGAAACATGCTGGATGACGCCCTTAAGTTAAACATGCTGCTGTTCATCATATCTGAAGCATTATCAGACACTAGAATCAACGTTTTGTTGCTTATCTGTCAATCATTAGCAACGCGTTCTAGCTCAACGAATTGTTTCCTTTGTGTTGTCTTCGGTTAGCTAAACTGTTTCTAGAATGAAAGGTTTTAATTACCATTCAGATGTTGATCAGATGGTCAGTGACACATTCGGCACAAGTTTATCCAAACACTTAGCCTTTTCTGATTCATGAGAACCACATGTTTTCTGTATTGTTTGTTGCAGTACAGTCTGACTTGTTTCTAATATTTTTTGTAGTATTTTTTTGTGTGTGTGTGTGTGTGTGTGTGTGTGTGTGTGTGTGTGTGTGTGTGTGTGTGTGTGTGTGTGTGTGTGTGTGTGTTGTGTGTGTGTGTGTGTGTGCGTGTGCGTGTGTGTGCTGTACACTTACGCGATACACACACACATACACATAGCAATAAACATCTTGCGGAACACCAATAAATAACTATTTCGTAGAATTTTTTATCAGATGATAACGGGATGATAAGATATTTCAGTCTGAACGTCTATCACTAGTTTCAGCTCCTCGGCCAACGCTGTGTGCTCTCGTGGCGTCGTTTGTTTACCTTTATTTACGAAGAATTTAAGTTTAAAATGGACTCGAGTGTAATCGCTATTATTGTAAGTATAAGCATCGATTTTCCACGATTTCAGCTATATCTTGATGTACCTAAGCAATTCCACTTACTCTTTTTTCATCCGTTTGTATCAATGATTATGGACATTGCTGTTACTTCTGAGTTATGATTGTATCTAAATACTAATTCTTGTTGCAGATGGCGTCTCTTGCCCTCGCGTTACTGGTAAGAAAGAGGACATTTTACATTTTTTCCCCCGATGCACCCATAGGATATTTCAGCTCACCCACATAGCATGCTGGAATCGAGGGTTTCTGAGATGTACGCCAGGATCACATCAGATATACGCCAAGCCACTGATTGATGCAATGTAGATGTGTTTTATCTATATTTGTACATGTGCTTGTATGTATGTATATTTATATTACCTGAAAACAAAATAATATCACGTCCATTTGTTTTTTGTACGAGATGTGTTGCAGATTAATAACCTAACTTTTTTGTAAATAGAGGACGCATAGAATTTACTATACAAATATAAACCCAGTAATGCGATGTGTAATCTCCTGTCCCTGTGGAAGCATGCTTTTTTACATACGTTAAATGTCACACGAGGCAACCATCGTAAGGTAACATTTCACACCGGAATCCAACTATCATACCGCAACATTGCATTTTCAGCTCAAAGTTATTATGATATATGCAACATGGAAACCAAAAAAAAAAAAAAAAAAAAAAAAAAATGAAATTCTGATGAAGCTATTTTTCTTGATTTCAGGTGCTTGGATTCATCTACCTTATATGGCGATTAAAGGTAGGGGAAAGGCGCACAAAACATATATGTACGAATACATGTATATGTCTATATGATACACACACACACACACCGACTGCCCACGGGGAGTGTAAAACTTCGTCATCCTTACCTAAGTATGAGTAGATAGGTAATGTCTATGCAAAGACCCAGGTTCGAATCCTGGACGAAGTTTAATTATTATTCATCATATCAATGCGGTAGTGCATTATTCTATCTTTCATGTTTATATATGTGTGTGTGTGTTTATATGCATATTTATCTGTAGACACTATTCATACATAAATATATACATATATATATACTCACATATAAGTATATGTATATATATTACATATATCGATATATGTAGTACATATATCTTATATTCTTATATATATATATATATATATATATATATATATATATATATATATATATATATATATACACACACATGTATATGTATATATAGGCACACACACATATATACATGAATATAAATATAAGTATATACGAGTATATCATCATTTGTCCTAAAATTATTCACAGTATTCCTACTCCCTTTCCAGGGTCTGCGCCACGAATTTCTCGAGGAAATTGAGGAGCTAAAAGTAAGCCACAGTTACATTTCTCGAAATTAGAACAGAATGACCAGATAAAAGGCTATGCAGTTATAGTCTGTTCAGTTGAGTGTGATAGCTGGTTGGACAGAAAGTTAAGCTGTGATTGGTGGATGAACAGCAGTGAGGGGCGCGCGGGGAATTACTCCGGTTACCAGCGAGGAATGGCGAACCTGGAATGGTTACCCGGAATGATTACCTGGAATGGTTACCTGGAATGGAGAACCGTCGCAGGAACACCAGCTGTCTGATTGCCTTTGAGACACACACTGAGTCTGTGGTGGCAATAGATGACCTTAACAACATTAATAGATTTGATGATAAGGATGATAATATTGTTGAAATGATTATGTGGATATTAATTTATGACTGATGATAATGACGACAAAGAATGATAACATTTATAATTGCCATCGCAAAATTCGCTTCAGGTTAAGTGGTTTAATAATGCTCTAGGATTTACTAGCGTACACTTTTTAAGAATAGAGGTGGAGGCAAACCTTTGGCATCGTTGCAGTTAAGTGAAAGGTCTGCCAGTGTCGCAAGTGAAGACTAGCAACACCTAGTGGTATCTTACTTTTTTTAACCAACTAAGACCGCGTCTTAGTTAAGAGCCAGGGAGGTAGTATGGTAGAGGCCAGAAGGGTCAGTGATAATGATATGGTAAATTGTAGAAAAATCATCAGTCTCTTGAGACAGAAATATAGGAAACAGAACAACTAAACCAACCATCCTATCCTCCTGCGCTGGGTTAGGTTTCTAAATTTTGGTTGAATTCGTCTTGATTATAATTAGGGTTTTGTCTACTGGCGGAGTCAGAAGGCGTCCAATCGTATTTTAGACGACAATGCAACAAATTCGAGAATTCTTCTAAATATATTCAGCCACGGACATTAAAACTCCAACACATACACACGCGTGCGCGCGCATGTGCAGACACAGTCACAGGCACATGCACGCACGCACACAGACACAGACACACACACACACACACAAACACACACACACACACACACAAACACACACACACGTAATTGAAAGTGACCAAAAAGAAAGGCGAGGATCATGATAACAAATTCCCTTGCGGTTTTGTATTTACAATGTTGGTTTCTGCTTTGAATGTGTGACCTAATAGAGATGTTATTAATAACTTTACTTTTTATTCCATTGATATATGAAGTAAATAGGAATGATTTACCAGCCTGGAAATTACCTTGCCTTCTTTGTGTTTCTTTTCATTTTTGAGAGTTATATCTGCACTGAATATCCCACAACATATCAGACAATATATTGGTGAATTTTGACAACGCATCTATGGTATGGAAAGGTTAGAACTAAGGCATCTTTTCCGGTGGCAATAAGGGTGTCGCGAGACGCGACATGACACGAAAAGCTGTCTCGTGACTGGAGGCGAGACAGGTCTCTGAGCTCCGCCCATTTCTGTGACGTAATGGGAATGATCGCGGTTGACGGCTTGCTATTTTACTGTACTGGTTATTTTTCCGACAGGTAAACAAACAGTATTTTGGAATATGATATCCAAGATGACTTTTGATATCTTATGGTGGGTAGTGCGGTGTTATAGATATCCAATGTAAGTACGAATATGCATAAAAGACAACTGTCTGCTCGATTCCTGCCGCGCAAGAGGTGTCGCGTTTCCCGTAACCGCTGGAAAAGATGCCTCCAGTTTTGTTATTGCTATTGCTAAGAATAAAGGTTATCAGTAGCTCAACTCCATGATTTCCATGGCATTAACGACATCATTACACATTAAGATTTCAGCGTAAATGATAATGCTGACCCAGAGTTGTATTCAAATCTGACACTGGATAGTGCAATTGACACTGGATAAACTTTAATACAGTATTTACTTTTGTTACGCTTACAGAAAAATGCACTCGCTACCTCTTTTTCAAATGATGCATAAGGGTACTCAGTTTAAAATTACATATAAGCCTAGTTCCTCCCCTTTCTTAGGGAAACAAATTCATTTTCCCCCACAGGTGCTCCTCTTTTTAAAATCTAGACTATGGCCCGATTAAAACTCCCCTATGGTTTCATCTTTGTCATGTAGCCACTAACCTATCGTATAAGTACTGCACCAAGTGTTAATTTCGGTTGATTTCGTGTATTCTGCATTTTTCTTTTTTTCCTAGCTATGATATTTCCTAATATTGATTTACAAACATCATTCGTACAGAAATCACCTGGAGAGCAAGTGCCTCTTTTAAGAAATCATGGCTCTGTAGAGGCAGGGGAGTTTCGTGGTGCCCAGTCTACCCAGAGAGCAATGGCTGGACCAGGTGCTTCACATCCAGCTAAGAGGCCCACACAAGCAGACCTCATAGAGGCAGAGGAGGAGTTTCTGAAGGAGAGAGAAGAAAAATGGAGAGACGTGGATAAAGATCGTGGTGCCCAGTCTACCCAGAGAGCAATGGCTGGACCAGGTGCTTCACATCCAGCTAAGAGGCCCACACAAGCAGACCTCATAGAGGCAGAGGAGGAGTTTCTGAAGGAGAGAGAAGAAAAATGGAGAGACATGGATAAAGATCGTGGTGCCCAGTCTACCCAGAGAGCAATGGCTGGACCAGGTGCTTCACATCCAGCTAAGAGGCCCACACAAGCAGAACTCATAGAGGCAGAGGAGGAGTTTCTGAAGGAGAGAGAAGAAAAATGGAGAGACGTGGATAAAGATCGTGGTGCCCAGTCTACCCAGAGAGCAATGGCTGGACCAGGTGCTTCACATCCAGCTAAGAGGCCCACACAAGCAGACCTCATAGAGGCAGAGGAGGAGTTTCTGAAGGAGAGAGAAGAAAAATGGAGAGACGTGGATAAAGATCGTGGTGCCCAGTCTACCCAGAGAGCAATGGCTGGACCAGGTGCTTCACATCCAGCTAAGAGGCCCACACAAGCAGACCTCATAGAGGCAGAGGAGGAGTTTCTGAAGGAGAGAGAAGAAAAATGGAGAGGACGTGGATAAAGATCGTGGCCCAGTCTACCCAGAGAGCAATGGCTGGACCAGGTGCTTCACATCCAGCTAAGAGGCCCACACAAGCAGACCTCATAGAGCAGAGGAGGAGTTTCTGAAAGAGAGAGAAGAAAAATGGAGAGACGTGGATAAAGATCGTGGTGCCCAGTCTACCCAGAGCAATGGCTGGACCAGGTGCTTCACATCCAGCTAAGAGGCCACACAAGCAGACCTCATAGAGGCAGAGGAGGAGTTTCTGAAGGAGAGAGAAGAAAAATGGAGAGACGTGGATAAAGATCGTGGTGCCCAGTCTACCCAGAGAGCAATGGCTGGACCAGGTGCTTCACATCCAGCTAAGAGGCCCACACAAGCAGACCTCATAGAGGCAGAGAGGAGTTTCTGAAGAGAGAGAAGAAAAATGGAGAGACGTGGATAAAGATCGTGGTGCCAGTCTACCAGAGAGCAATGGCTGGATCAGGTGCTTCACATCCAGCTAAGAGGCCCACACAAGCAGACCTCATAGAAGCA